CCGGACCGTGTTGGAGTTGGCATTGGTGGTTTACTTCATACATAACACCAGGTGGAATGGTTGGGTAACTGAAATCGTGGTCACTTGGCTCGTCGTTTAAACACTCGCCCCAGCCACGGCTAAAATGAGAAAATTCGGCGTTTTAATAGTGTTTCGCGGATAGTAATAATTAAGTAACTGAAAACTCAGTGCGCAATGCACCATGGGGTTTGACAAAAATGTCCCCCGCCCTAGAACTTTAACCGGAAAATATGGATCACTGGGAAACTCGTAAAATATATCCCTTTCGTTTAAAATTATGAAGACATATTTGAAATAGTGATATATATATATAACTAGGTAAATTACTCAAGAAATCTTGTAATGTATTGTCTGCTGCAATCTGACCAAACCAAAGGACCTGGTTCTTGCGACAATAGTGGCGACATCACGTGAGGGCGCTTTCCGTGTCCCTTACATTCATTATCGGTCCCATCATGTTGCATTCCAAGACTAAAAAAATAAAAACGACAAAATACATCATTAGAGCATATAATTACTACAAGTAAATGCACGGTGACTTATCGAAGGTCTTAATAAATCGAGCACATAACAATATTAAACACGTGACATGTTCTACTCACTTGTGTCCCAATTCATGTGCAACTGTAAATGCTAATGCAAGTCCAGTGTCTTCGTTGACGTTACAGCTCCGGTGTGGTTGGCAGAGAGCTGTCACTTCAGCCAGACCTAATGTGCCACAAGGTTTGTTCATGTTCGCGCAAATGTTAACCCTGTAACAAAAAAATGAATCCCATGTCATCTTTTGTTTTAAGCAGAGTTCCAATACACCGGAATTTCAGCTTGTATCTAGCTCTCTCTCCCAAAACGAGTGATCCCTTCGTCTATAGAGGGCGTTATTTTAGAATAAAAGACTACACCCACCTTGTCATCAATATAGCAACATCATGGTGGTTTGGATGACTTTCCTCGGGTGGGTTGATTGTGTTTTGCCATTTACAGAAGCTCTTTAAAGTCTTATCGGCATGGTGAGTTATATTCAGTCCATCCTTAACAAGTACAGAGAGAATAACAGTCAATGTCCAATTCGCAACATACGATATCAATAAAACCAGATACGTATCGACTGTCGGCCCATAACTGCTCTGTTTATTGCATCGGTTTATTACTGGTATGGAAGGTATAAATAAATTCAACGCCATAATTCAAGTTTAATTTTAGCGATCAGTTTCACACATTATCATTAATAAATAAATAAAAAACTCGTACCTCGTCTTCTTCTAAGAACATGAGTCGAACCATAACAACGTTCACTGCGTTGCCAAGACTGGCATCGTGATACAATCCAGACACCTACAAATAAACAAGGCAGAGCGTTAAATCAAATGAATCAACGCGTTGGAGTAATGTAGTGAAAACATGATACACTTTGGGGTACGATGAAATAGTGGAGATTTTTGTAACTTCATTCTAACATCTTGAGCAGGTCTTGATCTTAGATCGCGGGTGAAACACAGAAATATGTGTACACAAATACGTCGTATGATTTGCTTTTTCGCTATGTTTTCTCATTTTTAACAATTTTTATTTGCCAAAATGACTCAAAACTAATACACATACGGGAAATACTATGAACAGAATTATAAAGTAGACAAATGAAGTGTGATTCGTTGATAGAACATAGTTATTTCATGCTATTATCATAATATACGCTATTTCACATTATATTATAAGGTTATTACAAAGATACCGAAGTATGCACGAAGACCGTACAGCGGGAGGTCGATGCGATGGCGTACTGTCTGAGTGCATACGTTGAGGTATCTTCGTAATAACCTTATTATTATAATCTTTTCCTTCCAAGCATACATCATGGGATGCCGAAATCCAAAAAGTTTAGTACAGAATCAGTGAACTTCCTTGTGTGGAGTCCGGTCAAAACCTGGTGGCAGTTTTTATTATTAGAGGACGATTACGCGCGTAATCATTCCATATTTGGAATTAACATTTCATTTTATGGTAGGATGAAAATACCCCAGATGACAATTGTATAATAATAACATATATACTCATTTTGTATCTCAAATTTCAATTTGACTCAGTACAAGACAAATACGAATAACTTTTGACAAACAACGCATTTCGGGTCTTTTTCAATATGGCGTACTATTTTAGAGACATCAGTTGAAAACGAAGTTCAGGTAACAAACTTCTATTTCTGTTTTTTTGAACATTTAGAGGTGTGGTAATTTATTTAATCTATTGGGAATAATCTGGTATAACAAATATATTGAAATGAAGCATAAGGCAGGTATTGATACGTCAACAAATTGTGTCAAAGAGCAACCTGCTCTCCGATTGGTCTGATTGTTAGGTGTTACGTTTGGATAGCCAATGGGGCACAGTCTTGTAAGTAGCTTCGCATTAACTCTAGTCAATGATAACACATCGGGGAGATAGATTGATTATTGTTTTTTTTTTCCAAAACATTTTGTTTTATGTTGGGGAATCCAGGGGCGTCGATCCATTCTGAAAAGTGAGGGGGACACTTTGGATGGATTTCCAACCTTAAATCCTCCGATTGCTTAACTATCGAAGTTTTAGATCGATAATTATCGGAGAATTATTTTACCTTTTTTTATGAAAGTTGTACTTCGATAATCATCAGTTGCGGAATTGCAATGTTG